GAGAGAGAGAGAGAGAGAGAGAGAGAGAGAGAGAGAGAGAGAGAGAGCTGACTCTGTGGTGGGATTGGAGAGGAAGAGTGAAATATGCAAAGAAATATCGATAGCCTGAAATACCTGGCGCATGACAGTTAATCATAAGGCCGTTCCAAAGAGAAAAGACCGAGGGAGAATGTTGAGAGGGAAGATCTTGAGGAGGCAGAAGATGTACGCTTTGTGGCGGAGGAGACAGACAAAGTGCGAGGAAGGAAGAGCGAGAGGAGGAAGTGTGTTAGGTGAAATGCATTTTTTCTCTCGTGCTTTCCCTCTCTCCTTGCGCGTGTGCAACCATGTTGAGATCTTAAAAGAAAAAATCGAGCGATCTTGATAACAAATGGAGCGTTTACGTCCACCTGATAAAGTAAAAGCAGCACTTCTGAGGTCGGGCGGTACGAAGGAAGGGCGGCCGGTCAAGGGAGGAAGGGGGAGGTAGGGAGTAGGACGGAGGGAGGAATGGAAGGGGGAGGTCAGGTGGTGATCGGGCTGAGGAAGGAAGGGGAGGAAGTAGATCGGGGGAAGGAGGAGGTCAAACAGAGATAGGGCAAACGAAGGGGGAGAACGAAGGGGAATGAGGGGGTTGAAGAGAAGGTGCACAGGAGGCCAGTAGGCAGGGGAGAGGCGGCAGAGAGTAGGGCGGAAGCAGGAGGTCAGGTGGAGATCGGACCAAGCAAGGAAGGGGAGGAAGGAGATAGGGGGAAGGAGGAGGTCAATGCAAATTGGGYAGAGAGGACRAAGGAGATAGAGGGGAGGAGGTCAKACGGAGATTGGGCGAAGGAAGGGGAGTGAGGTGGCCAGGCGAATGGAGGGCAAAGGGAGGTTTTAAGAGAAGGTCCAGAGGAGGCCGAGAGAAAAGGGAGGCGACAGGGAGAAGTAGGGCGGAGGGAGGACARAAAGCAGAAGGTAGTTTAGAGGTTGAGTGACGTATGAAGGAAGGGAGGAAGTAAGGGGGAGACGATCATGGGAAAAAGCGTGAAGAGGAAGAGGAGGTGGAAGGAGGTTGGGAGGAAGGGGAAAGATGACAGGGTGAAGTTGGGCAGGGGGAGGACAGATGGAAGGAGGGAGGGTAGAGGTTGGGTGGGGTACAAAGCACGGGAAGAGTTCAGGCGAAGGTGAGGAGAGAGAGAGAGAGAGAGAGAGAGAGAGAGAGAGAGAGAGAGAGAGAGAGAGAGAGAGAGAGAGAGAGAGAGAGAGAGAGAGAG